AATTTTTTTAACAACTCCAGTTTCTCAGTACTATGTTTAAAAAATGACATCAATAAAGATATAATCAAACCCTCCCGTACAGTCCTAGTGAAAGTTGTGTTCTTGTTGTAAGGAGGGTACGTTTATTTAAAATTGTGTTCTCTTATAAAGAAATGGTTGTTGTACATACCATAGTTGTTTTTCTAATTGCCTGAATCTTGACTTCTCAAAGTGTGAAATTTTTTATGGATTTTTGTTTGTGGTGTCATTCAATAGATGGTGCAGGAATTTTGGTTACATACATAGATAGTGACATACACACTACGTCCATTATAGTAAGAAGATTGTAATCCAACTTCTAAGACGTATAATACACCACAACAGCCATAGTCATATTGACAATTGCAATTTAGTAGCAGCTAAATCATGTTCTTTCACTTCTTAGTCTTAAAGAAGAAAACAGCTAATAAACCTAAAAGGTCCACAATACTGGAATTATATCTTACATTATCAGTGTGAAGTTTGAGCTGTTTTTTATTTTATTTGTATACCTTTAAAAAAGGTGGTTCCATGGAAAAATCAGTCGAAACAAAGCAGAAGCTCTTCTTCATGCAGGGGAGGATGGCCTGTTCTTGGTTCGTGAGAGTACTAATTTTCCTGGAGATTACACTCTGTGTGTATGCTACAGGAATAAAGTTGAACATTATCGAGTTATTTATACAGATAACAGACTTACCATTGATGAAGAAGAATACTTTGAAAATCTGTCCAAGCTAGTAGAGGTAATTATATTTTTCCAGTTAGTGAGATCAACCTAAATCAAAGGAAAATTTTATGTTTTTTTTGTATTTAGATTGAAATAAAAAATTAAGAGAATTGCCAGAAACTCTTGATAAATAAAAGTGTGGTTAGACAAAGCTTGTTATTTCACATCTGTCTTTAGTGTAGTATTAATTATATTGAGTGAGGAAAGTAGTTTTACTAGTAATTTCTCTTGTATGACCACAGAAAAAATTTGACAGAAAGACCATTAATGCTTATATTATCTAATAAAAGAAAATCATTATTAACAATTTTAAGGTATTTCTTGTTTTTTTTAATTCACCAGCAAAGCTCTTCTCCCAAAATAAATGTTTGTGTGGTTCTAACAGACAAAATTTCTCTTTTTCTTTCTTCTGAAGTAAATAAATTTGATCCAACCATTCATCTTTGTGAAAAACAAATCAGTAGCTCTCAAGTTTTAAAATGGAAGTAACACTAAGGGAAACAAAAAGCAATGCAGTTATTTAAATTATAAGTTGAGGTTTTAAGAGTCTAAAGTATCCAATATATATATTGTTTTTAATTGAGTTGAAACTACATTAACTTAGCTTAATATCCACAAATATTTAATTTAGATAGCTCATCATACTGATCTTGTGAATGAATCATGAAAACCTAAGTTTGAATTAATATTATTTTGTGTTTCATTGATTCACATGAATTGGTTTAAAAAAATGTCTTCATTTATCAGCTTTCTATCTATTTACTTGTGTCTTATTGCCACTAGCATTATCAGAAGGATGCAGATGGTCTTTGTACCCATCTTCGAAAACCTGTTCCGAAAGAAGGAGGGCTTGAGTTTTCTGTTGACTCTAGTGCCTTTGAACAAGCTGGATGGGTGGTTGACAAAAAAGACCTAAAACTTGGAGAAGTGTTAGGGAAAGGAGAATTTGCTGGTAAGTATTGGTGTCATATATGCATTGTGTGTGTGTTGCTTTGAAATATCTTTCAGTTTAATAGAAAATGACTGTAGTAGGGTATAATACATTCATGTATATTTAAGTGAACCCAAACAGACAAGCTTAAGGTATAGAAATGAACATTAAATGGGCAATTTGCTTTAAGATAATCTAGCTTAAGTTAAGCTCTGGTAGAATGCTTTAAAGCTGTGTTTTAGTTTTAATCGTTTAGTTTTACTGCTTCCATGTATTGAAATACTGAAAACTGTTTAACCAGGCAGAAAACTGTCTGGTATATTTAATTTTAATAAACAACATGTAATAACTAGCATAATGATTGACTTACTTAACATTTACCAGTACATGAAAGAAAATTGTCATCTGACAGTTTCTAAAATGAAAAAGATTTTATGAGTATTTTTCCTATAACAGCATTTATTTTTAGTCATACTTGATGTTGTGTGTTTCAATGAACAGATTGATGCAAATTCAAAATGTATGTATGGCAGCCCCACCCCCCAAGCCAGTTTTCCAAAACACACTTACCTCCTGTCACACTTTAGCATTATCCCGACAAAAGCATTGGTATGAATCTTACCTCACTTGCTTCAGTCTTTATAGCCTGCTGTATTGCCCATAGCAATTTAAATCTTGTGATTCTCTCCACCGTTGTCAATGCGCCCCCTATACAAGATCTGTATATAAACTCTCCATTATTACTTTCTATTCACTTTTCTCTCTGGCAGAACATTACGACAAATGGTTTTATGTGCTTGCTGTGGGTGTCTCTTACGTGATGTATAACTTTAGTTATACCTATGCTATGGATGATTTTTTGTGACCCATCTTATTGTTTATTTTGAACAACAAGAACAAAACAAAATTCTGAGACATTTTGGATGTAAATTCTCACATTTAAGTCTCTGACACGGAGTCTCCTAGTGCTCCTAATCTGACACTTCTGTAGTCTAGCATTACCTGGGCATTGGAAGGAGGACTCCTTTTTGCGGAGGATGTCCAATCCCTTATATGCAAAGAAATGGAGTCTTACATGAAGTATGATGTTTCTTCTTCTGTCTGCTCAAAGTCTGAGCTTGCGGGAGATCAGGGGCAGACTGGGGAGAATTTTTCTGGCTTCTTCCTTTGCTCAGACAGCTAATTATGAGCTTTGGATGGGCATCCTGTCTGCTGCACCATTTTTTCATCTAGTACATCAAGTTTGTAACGTCTTGGTTATTTCTTTGTGGTTAGTTCTCCATGTATTATCTCTTCCACCCTTTGAACCGTTGGCATCATGTTTCCTATATCACCTGTTGCTTAAGACGTATTTTCTTCTTGGATGTGTTTGCGATTCATGTTTACAGGACTCTCTATTATTACACTTATGTTCTGTTGTATGCTGATCCTTTCTTCCCAAAACTTCAGCAGCAAGAAAAGGGGATAGTGTTTTCTCTCCTATCCATCTTACCCCATTTTTCATGTTTATGATTGCTTGGATCGAAATTGTATTTTATACCTGGTTCAGGCTCTTCAATGTTATGTTTCATGCACTGAATGGTTTTGGGGTTCACATCACTGTTTGTTTATCTATTGGGATCCTAAGGTGTCATGTGACTTATCCCCTATCACTTTGACAGATTGAGTTTGTCATTTGTGTGTGTTGCTTACTCTGGGCTTTCATTGGAAGAATAGAGGCTTCTTCTGGTCTCATCTTATCAAATTTGTCATATCTCGATGTCCTTAGCACCTTAGTTTTGTTACCCACTGGAGGAGCTTTTACAGGCTGGTGTGTGGACCATGCTTAATATTTTTATATCTCATTATTTACATGATTTGGCAGTTGCTTTCTTGGAAGGTTTTCGGGTACATTCGTGGCTATTATCCATGTCCCTGCTAGTTTGTAAGAGAAGTGAGTGACTTTATTTATTTTGTGTTTATTTCCTTTCTTTTTCAGGAACCCTCTCGTCATTTACTTTTGGATCCCATTCTGTGGTAGGTGTTGCCTGGTCAGTTATGCTTATTTTCAAATCTGGACTAGCTACCAGTCGACTGATAAAAAAAATGTCCTGGTAGCAATGAGTTCTGTTGAGATGGGGTGTTCCATATGACCACCTTACAAGGTGGTAAACAATTATAACACAAAGATGGACTACCATGAGCAAAGCTTAAGGGGATTTTGCCCATCCCTGCTGATCCCTAAATTGAATAAATTGGGTTCGGTTTGATGTTCAAAATAGGGAACAGGGTTCACCTATTGTACTTTCTCCAGTGCATCATTCCTCGGGACTTCCCAGTGTGAATATCTCCACATTTCTCCTTACCACTCCCAGTTTCCTGTCGCTGGAGTGGTGGATAGAGGTTTATTCCTCCTGCGTGATGCTTGAACTCCTTATTCCACTCAAGAAGAAGGAGAAGCTGGGTGCCCTCCTATCAATAACCCTGGATGGTTTTCCCAGATGTATGGTAGAAACAGGACCAGCCTATGTGGGAGCTTCATTGTAATTCTGGTTCAGAGATTACTTTTTGCTATCCGTTTGGGTTGAGTGTTGCCCTTCATTTTGGTCCTTCTCTTCATTTCAGTGATCATGGAAGAGGGTCCTCGACTCCTCATAATTTCACATACGGAGCATCAATTTCTGTGCCATTGGTTGGACTTAGTTTGTTCCACATCCTCATAATTCCGGAAGCAGGAGGTGTTGCCTTGCCCCTCAGGTTGGGGATTTTGGTTTGTAATCCCAGGACTGGTAATCTCTGTGTCTTCAAGTTGAGTGAGGTGTGACAGGTCCCATAATTTCGAATTTGGTGTGTTGCATTTTGCACTTCTTCACATTGGGGCGAGAGCTTGTCCACTTGGTGTTGCTTGCCTTCTCTATGTAATTCCAGTGGCTGACATGCAACATTCTGTAACTTTCAGTTTGGGTTTTAATACCACCACATTACTATTCAAGACCAAATATAAAGTGGTCCTCATGCCCCAGCCACTACATCTTGGATCTCGATTTTGGTCCACAGCCTTATAATTCCCATGATGAGAAGTGGGACCTCGTCTGTCTGGTTGGGGCCTGGACGATTTCTTGCGTGAATCCTATCCTGAAAATGTATATCTGATAATACTCGCTTCCTCCCCACAATATGGCTGGTTACAGGTCTACTACTTTGGACTTCCTCAAAAAGTGAATAGGAAGTAATAACGGGGAGTTTATATATGGATTTGGTGAACTGGGCGAATTAACATAGGTGGAGAGAATCACAAGATTAAAATTGCTATGGGCAGTATAGTGTGGTGTAAAGACAAGCAAGTGAGGTAAGATTCATATCAATGCTTAGATGGGCAGAGAAGATAAACTTTTGTCGGGATAAAGCCTATAGTGTGAGAAGAGGTAAGTATTATCAGAAATACATTTGTGGTATAGGACAATAACTTTTGAGCTTGCCTATGGCCCACTTTCATGCTTGACTTTTTTACTGTTTTTGTTTTTTGCAGTCCTGAAAATTTATTCGTATTTTTTAAAAAGTGTTTGATTTTACTTTAAGTAGTTTCTGTTTAGTACAATTAAAGGCAGCTGACTAATAATGGTTTCTCATTTTCTTTTTTTCCAGATGTTTCACTAGGAACTTTACGTGGCCAAAAAGTAGCTGTCAAAATTTTAAAAGACTGCAGTAAAGCTACTCAGAAATTTCTTGGTGAAGCTTCAGTGATGACGTAAGTTGGCAGAGGGGAGGGTCCCAGGATATTCTGTCCCTAGATGGATCTAGTTATTTACTATCCAACCTTCATCTAGTACACATGGAAAAAAAAACCCTCAATAATGCCTGCTTCGTTTTTAATGTCTCAAAAAGAAACAAAAAATTTACTGGCGAGTTGAATTTTGCATAGGACTTTCACAAGGCAAATGCAGATTGTACAAAACATTTTTAGTGCTGTGAAAAGCAGCTCAATTGCAAAGCCCATGCACACACAGTGCCTGATACTGCAATATTTGAAATTATTGCATATGTTTGTGAGCACAATTATGCTGCATGTTCAGCCAAGGGTTGCTGTCACGGTGACAGACTTTATGAAAGAAGAAATATCAGATGATGGATGAGCATGTAAAGAACATCCTGCAACAGTATGATCATAGTGATAAAAGGAGTTTTTAAGGCAATCACACATAATCTATTTACATTCACTTAACCATATTATTGTGATTTTTGACATTACATTTTTAAATCTAGGCTTATAATTTTTTATATTGACATACAATAAAAATGCATGTATATTGTTAATTATTCTATCACCACAGCTTTTATTTTTACTTGTAAATTTTCATTGTACCTAATTTTCCTTTGATCGAAATTTCACGGGACTAAATCTTCAAGACCAATTTTTTGGGACCAAATCTTCATAGAACCTGGAAGAGGTTTTATCAAAATACTGCTATGATTGGAAATTTAATTTGTAAATTCTGAAAAAGTTTGACATTTCTAATTATTTTGTATTTATTTACAAGCAAATTATATTCCAATGGCTTAAGTAAATCTGTTGTATCATTCTCTTGTTGGGTGTTAAAAATGGCAATAGGTAGACCTTAGTCCATTTTTTCATGAATTGTATTGTTTATTGAATAAAACATATTCACCATTGGTACAGTTAGTAATTTATAAAAGTCTGTTATATACTGTGAGATGAAGATTTTTGTTCTTGTTCTCAGTTTGTTCAGATTCATGTGGTTAATTGTTATCTGTGTAATAGACATTTTAGTTTTGACATTTGATATCAAGTTCTAGAAAAGAAAAGATAACTTGTGCAACTTATTTCATAATAAAGTCTTGAAAATTTTTTTTATTCTCTTTGAGAAACATTTCTGAAAACCAATAAACTTGTACCAGATATTGGAAACTTCCTGTTACGCTTGTTGATTAAATGCAAAATAAGTATATTCTACTATAAAGTAATTGCCATAAAAGAATAGTTAGGCATATTTATTGGGTCATTTATATAACGCTGGATATTATTTGATTCATAGATATGATGTATTGCTAAAATTGTAGCTTAATATATTCTAGTTTAAAAATTTTACAATTTGCCTTAGTTTTTTTCTATGAAAGCATAACTTCTTTGTCTGAAAGATAAGAAAATTCATATAATGGTTCTCTGCAATTATTACTGAGACTTATTTAAACCTGTAGTTTATTAAGGTTTCCTGATATACAGTTTTTCTTTTGTTTTTGAATTATTATGCTTATTTATTTCAACAGAACGTTACAACATGCAAATTTGGTTCAGCTGATTGGAGTTGTTTTTGATGGACCATCTGTCTGCATCATTACAGAATTTATGTCCAACGGATCGTTAGTGGATTATTTGCGATCTAGGGGACGTCAGCATGTTTCTAAGAAAGATCAAATAGCATTTGCAACGTAAATTATTTTTCGTCTGGTTGTGTATCTTAAACTGAGAACTTTTATTTCTAACCCAACTGTTGTGTTTAGGAGTACACATAATACACAATTTATTTGTTATTAATCCTATTCATACTGTAATACTGAAAGGAGAAAGAATGTAAATGAAATAGAAATATGTATATTTTTGAATTTTTATTGAAAACATCAAAAAAGCATAATGTAGCTTCAATGAAATATGTCTTCTTTTAATGCACATTGTCATCTGTTTTCTGTGCATATGAGAACTCTGAATTTTCAAATATGAGTTTGCTTTAAAGGAAATTTATATATTTAATTATATATTTAATATATATTTAATTATATAATATTTAATTATATTGAACTTACCACAAACTCAGTTACTTTACAAATTTTGTATATCCTTTATACCATTTTAAATTAACCTATATCAAGCTTTATGGTTGCATGTATACTGAAAGTCTTAATTAAAAACATTAGTGAATCGTACATTTATTGAAAGATCTGTTTTTTTAGATGAGGGAAATCTATAAAAAAACAAACTTAGTTTGTAGGAATTTGTTTGTTATTCATCACTGTTATAATGAGGTAATCTGAATGATTTAATTTACCTGATTTGAAAAAGATAAACATTTTATCTTATTTCTTTCTATATTCCTGAATAGAAAAGAATATTAGTTTAATTAGGCTCTTAGTAGTCACTTCAAAATTTTTTTGTTTAAGTATTGGAAATTGTTTTATCAAAAATGAATTAAACACTAGTTTAGAAAATCTTTACAGAAATTGCTATTTTTATGATTTTAAAATCTGCCCATTTTACTCCCTACAAAATTATTCAAACAGTTTTTAATGAAGAATCCATAAATATTATAAAGAGTAATTTTGAGTTATTGAGTTCATTTAATTTTATTAATACTTTCATATATGGAATCTTGGTAGAAGAGAGTAGTTGTTTTTCCATTTAATTTTTTATTTTTTGCAGAATTTTGGTTAATCTACCGTGTGTGAGTTTTTTTTTTTTATACTTTTTCTCAGGGACACCTGTGCTGGAATGGCATACTTAGAATCCAAACATGTTGTACATAGGGACTTAGCTGCAAGAAATGTCCTAATCTCTGAAGAAGGAGTTGCCAAAGTATTTCTTTTCTTTTATACCTAACTAGAAATAGAGCATTGCAACCTCAGACATGAAGGATTTTCATTATAAAATATTAGGTGTTTGCTTTATATTGATGGTTATTACAATAATATCTGTAAAATAAATATATTATGTTAATTAAAATCTACTGCAGCATAATTTTCTCTCATTTTAAAACTGAAAATATTTATTTAAAACTTTCCATTATTTCTATTTATTACTGAATTGATTTCAGTAAGTCTGTTGGTAATTATGCTTATACTCATTTAACTTTTTACTGTAGTTTTTAATTACACTCAGAGAAGTAGTTTTCAAAAATTAAATTTCTTGAGTATTTGCACATGTGAGGGGCTGAACTTGCTCCAGTGGTTAGCATTGTAACAAATTTTTTGTTATGTATTTATTTTAATATGAACGTTGTTTAGGTTAAGTTTATATTTAGAAACATACATAGCTTATACTGTTAGATAGGTATTGTGAAACTCCTGCCTATTCTCCAAAGTTGTAGAAGATTCTCGAGAGTAAGAATCAACAATATATCTGTATACGTAAACGATTTAACCAGTATTGTTACGTAAGACTGAAATTTCTAGAATGCCTCCACACAGGTATAAATATAACCAACGCGACGCACCAAAAGAAGAGTGTTTATTATTAATTCGCAGTATATATGTGTGCTATAAAACCTCGAAAGCTGTAACTGAGATTGTTATAATGCTTATCAATCGAACGTT